TTTCTTTTGTGCACTATAGGACCCGTTAAGTTTTTCTATTAAGAACGCTCGATCGAGGGGTTCGGCCAGATCACGCCGACAGGCCTTCCGTGAGCGATTGACCGCTGGAGAGCCAGTTCCGTTCGACGGCCCGGAGGATAGGACCACTTTGGACCTTTCCGTTCCGAACGAGTTCCAACCGAATTCATACCCCGATCGTTCCCGCAGAGCCACAGAATCATTAGAGGGACCCACCAGTACCCCGTGTAAGGTGCCGGGACATAACCTCCCACCGAAGAAGACACCTCTCCACAGTCCACCATTGTGACTTGGCATACCTACTGGCGCCACCAAACGCCCTTAAGCAACCACCGTCACCATCACCAACACCGTAGTCTCCGGTGTAACCACGGCCAGCGTCACCGCCATAATCGCCGCCACTACGGACGTTAACAACGCCGAATCCACCACCAGCCTGTACAGCATCACCACCGCCGTATCAACCACCACCACGTGCAGCATCACCGCACAAAAGACCCAGCAGTCGCCGGCCGGCCAGGTATCTGAAGAAAACCTACACTATACACGCCACACACACACACACCCATAGAATGTAATTGGTAGGGAAATAAACCTCTAAAGTGTAATTCATTAGCTTTTTCCCTTCAATCACACTATATCCGAGTTCTGATTAGCCCGGTAAATCACTCCAGCCGACCTTGAGGCTAAGAATTGCCCTCCAGATCGAGCTAGCCATCAAAAGAGGTCGTTGAATGACCCACCCTCATTGGTAGGCCGTTGCTTAGCCAAGCCCGCCGAGGTGTTTGTCCTGGTAGCCCCCTAGGTACCCCACCCTAGCAGCAACAGTCGATAGAATTGAGTTTAAGCTTCTTACAAATACGTAAAACAAGTAGATTTTAATTCTAGTAATAAACTGTATTTGATTTTGCGTTGCAAAAATGAAGTGAGAAATGCTCGCTGCACATCTCGGACTTTAAGTGTAAAAATTCATTGGTGTTGATTCAAATGATAAGATTTAGCTACTTTTTGCATGTCTTTAGTAAACTATGATCCTAATCTATCAATTACTTTAAAGAAAACTAAATTTCAACAACTGAATGAAAAGTTATTAACAAATGAGTAGTTGGTGTGTACATGCCAAGCATAGAGTGTAGAGCGCACTGCCCACTGGACGATTCTGAAGCCTGATGGTCAAGTGAGTGGGGTATGCACGGAGAACACATTATAGCGGACGCAATTATTTTTCCGGTCAAAATAACTATATTGTTCAATTGTTTTAGAGGTAACCCGAAACTATAGTTGATTTGACTATATATAGAGGGCAACAACTATAGTCCATATTTGGCTTCTCGGTTGGCTCAACTATATTTTTCAGTAGATGAACAAACGTCAAGCTTCAAAATACAACTATGCTTTAGTTGATTCAAGAAAACTATTGTTAGGGAAGCAAAATTTTACAATGTATATTAAACGAACTGCTCTTCATTATCGACATATTAAGGAAGTTTGTTTTGCTTCTTTATCGATCTCAAAAACACAACTGCCAAATCATGAATCGGTTTTTAGGAGGTTGTTAAAGCAATGTAGTCGTCAGTGAAGGTTTTATAATTTGGTTATATCAACTGCTATAAAACTTCAATAAAACAAAAATTGTTGCTTGGGTCAAGCTCGCCATCGCCACCCCGTACAACTACAGCAAGCGCGCGAAAGGACACGTGGTGGCAGGGTGGCCAGACCTACCGATTTATCGGTAGTCCTACCGATTTTCGGGATGCCTACCGATTCACAGACAAAAGGTTAAAAACTACCGATTTTTCACTTTTCCTACCGAGAATCACAGATTTTTAGTAATCTTGAAAAATATTCAATACCTATGTGTTCTATTCCTTGTAGTCAGAATTACCATTAGAATTAGAAATATTGATTTCGACATGTTTAAAGTAGAAGAACTGAAGGACAGTCCCCCCCCCCCCCCCCCCGCCCCTCGCTCACAAAGGTTTCAAGTATCGGGAAAGCCTTCCTCAGACAGCCTACTGATAACTACTGATAAAAGTTTTGAGAAGCTACCGATAATGAAAAAAATAATCTGGCCACCCTGCGTGATGGAATTGCTGCGAGGGGCTCTGACGAAGAAAACAGGTCAGATAGATTATAGGAAAGTGAGAGAAGAAAGGAGTAATTAAAGAAACAAAAGAGGAAAGTGTCGGGAAAGTTAAATAAATCTTAGAACTTTAGTAGAGAAGTGCTTGTAGAGTTTTTTTTCTGTGTGACACGTGCGAGCATTCCCTGCCCTTTGTAATTGCAATCGGTAAGCGTGTCGACCCTGAGGCCATTGGAGTCAGGGAGTCTCAGAAGTGCTCCTGACTGAGGCGGCTGAGACTTACAAAACTTCAAATCATCTTACAACCACATAAGATGAAACTGGCAAAGAATGGTATTTCACCTAAAGGAACACATCTTACACGGACAGAAAATTGTTTGCATTGAACCAAAAAAAAACTTTATTTGTATTTACACAAACAATTCCGGTTGAAATTATATTGCATTTTATTGTTTCGATAATATTTATTCAAATAAATTCAAAATAAGATTCTTTTTGTTTTCATATGCCACTCTTCAACTGCAACTAAAGGGTGTCCACGATGAAATTGCCACACTATGAAATTGCTCTAACTTTTTAACCGTTGGGTAGAATTTAATGAAAATTTGGGTGGATTTAGTTCATAGTGCATTATTTACATCCTGCAAGTTTTAAAGTCCTGTGATCAAAACTCGCGGAAATGGAGTCGAAAGAACAGCTCGTGCGTGATAAAATCTTGCGCATTCATCACGAGAACAAGGATCTCTCGCATCGTTCCATCGCTAAAACGTTGGGAATCGCAAATTCCACGGTGTCGCGAGTGATTAAGCGGTTCGAGGAACGGTTGACCACCGATCGGAAGCCCAGAAGTGAAGGAAAAAGTATTCCGTACAACACCAAAAATCACAACCGCGTAGTTGGGGCCTTCAACCGAAATCCGAACGCCTCCGTTAGGGATGTGGCTAAGAAGCTGCACCTAAGCCGAAGTTTTGTCCAGAAGGCCAAAACTAAGGCTGGGCTTCGAACGTTCAAGGTACAAAAGGCCCCTAATCGCGATGAGAAGCAGAGCAAGTCCGCCAAAACCCGTGCCAGGAAGTTGTACCTCAACATGCTGACGAACGTTGAATGCTGCATCATGGACGACGAAACATATGTGAAGGCCGACTTCAAACAGATCCCCGGCAACCTGTTTTTCACGGCCAAGTATAAGTTCAGCGTTCCGGAGCATGTCCGCACTCAGAAGATGTCCAAATTTGCGAAGAAATTCCTGGTTTGGCAAGCCATCTGCACGTGCGGGAAGCGGAGTGCACCTTTCGTGACCCAGGACACGATGAACGGACAGGTGTACATAAAAGAGTGCCTCCAGAAGCGGCTGCTTCCTCTCCTGAAGGCCCACAACGTCCCAACAATCTTCTGGCCGGATTTGGCCTCATGCCACTACTCCAAGGACGTGCTGAAGTGGTATGCGGACAATAAGGTCAATTTCGTGCCGAAAATGTTCAACCCTCCCAACACTCCGGAGCTCCGCCCCATCGAGAAGTACTGGGCGATTATGAAGCAGCACCTTCTTAAACGACCTAAGGTAGTGAAGACAGTCGAGGAACTGAAGAAAGTATGGGTTTACATGCAAAAAACGGTTGATTCACAGGTTGTGCAGAATCTTATGGCCGGGGTTAAGGCCAAGGTGCGGGCATTTGCGTATGGACTGCAAATAAAATACGAGTAAAATGGTAAAATGAAGTTTAATAGTTATTTCTCAATCCCTGAAAATTTGATGGCAATCGGATGAAAACTCGAATTTTGCGAATCAATTTTGTGTGTGGCAATTTCATCGTGGACACCCTTTATTGTAAAAATAACAATATTCTTTTATCAAGCCAACAATAGTTAATTTTAATTTAACATTTATTTGTTGTGTCAATTCCCCGGGCCATGAATGCAAAAATAACTACCAACCATTCCCTCGTAAAAACCCGGACAAAAATGTACACAATAACAAAAAAATTCTCATTTGATTCAGCTCTAGAGGTAAGTAAGTATGCTGCTGTTGCAAAATATAAACAGTTTTTCTTTTTTTCCTTGATTTTTTCCGTCGATCTTATTTTCAGTACTGAGTACCAACGCCAGGAAGGCCGCTCCCACACCTGGACCCTACCTATCGACCCATTAACTCATGAACCGGAGAGATTTTATGCATCAGAAAGTTTTTTTTTTTTTTAATTTAATTGTAATTCTGTGGGTAACAAACAGAAAACAAAACATAAAAATAATCGCAAATTATTAAAAATTGAATCAATAAACATATTTTTATTTCTACTGCGTATATTTTTAGGCTTAATAAAATAAATATGATTGAATCAACAAGAAATCTCTTTTAAAAACAAACATATTTTTTGTTGACCCAGCTGCCAAATTTGACAGCTTACGTCAAAACCATAAAAGCTCTTGTAAATTCATAAAGATTTTCTTTTTGATTTAACAATCCATGGGTTTTTAAAAACAAAGATACTGGATTGTTGAAATAATAATGATTTCATTTTGCAGCCAAAACAAAATGAAATTCTTATTAAATTTACGTCAAATATTATTACGTTTAAAATATTTTTTTCTGCGTGTAAGGTTGGCCCGTGGAAACATAGAACTTTTATTTTTATGGGCTAGTCTAGTCGGCATCATGTTTCTTGAAAGTATCCCACAACAAAAATAATGTATCGGTTCATATAGTGGTTACTACAGTGACGCACAAGATGTATTGTTAAAGAGAGCATCTTCATCGCTTACAAACACTATCGTATAGTAGAAAGAGATAATGAGAAGTATAGCAATATTATAGCAGTCTATTTACTCTCTGAGCATAGTAATAACAGTTACTACAACACAACTGCACTGAACAGTATTTCGTGAGATCAGTCTCATCGAATAGTTCAAAGTGAAAAGATCGTATAAGGCACGAAGTGCGGGAAAAAAGGCATACAATCATATATAATTTTGCTACCAAAGTGTTCAGACAAACAGATAGAGCTGCTGTATATAATCAGTTTGTGATTCATCGTCCAGTGGGGATTCAGTTTTACGTCAAAACTATTCATCAAATTTAAATAACCACCTTTGGCCAAGTGCAGCTGAAAAGTATCCGGTGTTTTAACAATGTCTTGGTATTACACGGTAAGTTGGCAATTCTTCGGAAATTTTATCACTCTTGCTATTTTTGTGCACGGTCGGTGATGTGAAAAAGAAATGATTCATGATGTTGGGTGGGTTTTTTTCTTTTTCAAAACTCTGCGCATCATGCGAATTGATAGCAGTTAGTAGTAATGTAATGCCTACATTGAGTTTATTCCAACGGTGAAAATTTCCAAAGCATGGAAGGGAGGTGGACAGACAAGTGACCTTCATCGACGTGGATAGTTCGTGTGACCGCAATTTGTTTCGTTGTCGTTACTTCATTAGCAATATGGCCATTTGAGCCTGTGTACTTATTAACCGGTATGGTTGTGCCACGCAATCGTTCAAGTGCCTAAACCTGATCTGGTTTTACAATGAGTTGAAATCATGATATCATCCAAAGGTTCAGGCGAGATTGATTTTGCACCAGACTGTTTATAATATGAAAAGTGATGTGTAAACAGATATTTGTTTCCATGATTTGATCAGTCTGTGAAGAAAATCTGTTTTTCTTTAGTAAAGAAATATGCGCTTTGAAGTTCATAAAAACTTGATGACAGACTGTTTTCTCCACTCCACATCGAACGCTCGACTGTTTCGGTCAAGTATTGCTTGCACTCCGTAATCGGTACTAGTTTTTTTTCCCCTATTGAGGTTTTTTTTTTCAATCCGCTTTCATACTGAGTGGTGTTGTAGTATACAACAGTGCAGTGAGCATCGCGGAATTGTAATTGCCGCTCAATCGTTCGAGAAAGGAAGCAGTCATTTCCGGCCGAGTCCGGCAGATGAGCTGTACATCTCTAACCAACAAGTTTCATCGCATCACGAAACGGCAAACTCAAGGTCATCGAGTTCACCAGCCGGCGAGCCAGCCGGTGCTTTGTTGCAAACACTCGAGGGCAACAATAGAACGATCATCACCATCATTCTCACATCAGGATAGATCATCGTCATCAGCCACACTCCGTGCGCTTGTGTGGAGAGTTAAGTAACAAACGGTTATCTTCCGTTCTCCGCAACCTGATTAATCTCCATACAGTGTTGATTAACTTTTCTGACACCTTTTTGTTTTTCCTGAAAAAATTTTCATTTTTTTTTCTCTTTTTTTTTCATTTACTGTTTTTTTTTTTGCAAACTGATTAATCTCCCTATAGTGTTGATTAACTTTCCTGGCATTATTTTTTTCCATTTTAAAGTTTTTTTTTTTTTTTGCTTTGTTGGATTAAGTATTATTTTTACCGTTATATTTTTTGGATAAGTTTATTTTTTTTCTTATTTTTTTTTTTTTATTTATTATTTTTTTTTCTCAACGCATATATATATATATATATATATATATATATATATATATATATATATATAAATATATATATATATATTTCCTTTTTATGTCGAAATCTGTTGCGGAGGTACTTAAGACCCCGCAATGGATGAAACCAATGATGGCGGGGGTATTTCGCTAGCAGATATCTCCGATGATGAGTCTGTTAAATCTCCATCATTCGAAAATCTGCTTCTCACTGAAGAGGAAATGGATACCTCAGGGGATTCTACTTCGGACCCCAAAACGAGCACTGGAGCTTACCCAAAGGTGACGTCTAAACAACAACCTCCTTCACCCCCTGCCCCCCCTTCTCCACCATCGCCCCCTCGTCCACCTGTTCCCCCTACTCCAACCGTTCCCTTAAAAATTTCTGCGACCCCCCGCCATAAAGCATACCCAAGCGACTCAAAAGGTCCGTGGGTTGTTTTTTTCCGGCCCAAACAAAAACCTTTGAATATTTCTCGGATTTCGAAGGATCTGACAAAACATTTTTCGGCCGTAACCGATATCTTTAAGGTAACGTCAAACAAACTGCGCGTTACCGTTGATGACCTGAAACAGGCAAACCGGATTGTTGCCTGTGAGCTTTTTTCGATCGAATATCGAGTCTACGTCCCCAGTTGTGACGTAGAAATTGAAGGAGTGGTCACCGAATCGAGTCTGACTTGTGACGATTTCCTGCAAGTCGAATCTTTCGGCATTTTCAAAAACCGTGCCCTCCCGAAAGTCAAGATACTGGACTGCATTCAACTGCAGTCAGTGTCGCACATAGGCACAAAAAAAAAGTATACCCTCTCAGATTCGTTTCGTGTGACCTTTTCAGGATCGGCATTACCTGATTACGTCACAATTGGGAAGGTTCGACTACCTGTACGCTTGTTTGTACCGAGGGTAATGAATTGCTTGAAATGCAAACAACTAGGTCACACCGCGGACTTTTGTTCCAACAAACCGCGGTGCGATCAATGTGGGGAGGAGCATATGGAGGGTCCTTGTCATGCTACCCCAAAATGCGTTTACTGTAAGGATGCTCCGCATGCTCTGAGTGATTGCCCGAAGTACAAACAGCATTGAGAAAAACTAAAGCGGTCTTTGCAAGCTCGCTCTAAGCGCTCGTTAGCAGAAATTTTAAAAACGACCGCTTCATCTTCCCAAACCACCCCAAAAAGCAACAACACATTCCACCTCCTGCCAGATGATGATCAGGGCTCTGACTCAGAGGTGGGTGAGAGTAGTCCTTTTGTCTTTAGTGGCAACACGAGGAAGCGGTCCAAAATAAACGTCACCCAAAAACCTCGTAAGGCCTCTCGTATGGACTACCAACCTACCTTGACAAATTTAAGAGGTAGCGGAAATGTACCGAAACCCCCACCACCGGGATTTAAATCTTGTAATTTTAACAAGGACTTTCCGCCACTTCCGGGATCATCTAAAACCCCAGATATCCCAGTTTTTCAGCCAGAAAAACAGCTGAATAATCAGCAAGAACATGATGCCATGTTCACGTTTTCTGAAATTGTGGAGAGCATCTTCAATATATTCAACGTCTCTGACTCAACTCGGAACATTATTAATTTAGTGCTTCCATTCGTGAAAACTCTTTTGAAGCAACTAGCTTCTAGGTGGTCCTTCCTTGCATCGATCATATCCTTTGATGGATAATTTTCCGAATGAGGTCGGGGATATGATCTCTGTTCTTCAGTGGAACTGTAGAAGTCTTATACCGAAACTTGACACATTCAAATTTTTAGTTCACAACTCACTTTGTGATGCATTTGCTCTTTGTGAAACATGGCTTTCTTCAGACACCGATCTCCCTTTCCACGATTTTAACATTATTCGCCTTGATCGAGCAGATTCGTATGGAGGGGTGCTTCTCGGGATTCATAAGCTCCATTCCTTTCATAGAATCGATCTGCCTTCCGTGACAGGCATTGAAGTTGTCGCATGTCAGGTAAATATTCGAGGTAAAAGCCTCAGTATTGCCTCAGTATATCTTCCTCCAAGAACTGCGATTTCTCGCCAAGGTCTCTCAGATATCTGCTCAGCTTTATCTGAGCCTCGGTTGATATTAGGAGATTTTAACTCCCACGGTACAGGCTGGGGGGAACTGTACGATGACAACCGCTCAACCCTGATATACGACCTTTGCGATAACTTCAATATGACAATTCTAAACACTGGGGAAGTAACACGAGTGGCCAAACCTCCAGCAAGAGAAAGTAGATTAGACCTCTCCCTCAGTTCGAGTTCACTATCGTTGGATTGCTCGTGGAAAGTAATTCAAGATCCCTACGGTAGTGACCACTTGCCAATCAAAATTTCTATTACCAATGGTTCATCTTCCACTCGCTCGGTTGACATCGCGTACGACCTCACGAAAAACATCGACTGGCAAAAATTTGCGTCCGCGGTTCTCGGTGGTACTGATTCGGTTGACATACTCCCTCCGCTGGATGAGTACTCCTTTTTATCGCGACTTATCGTTGACTGCGCTCTTCAAGCACAGACGAAACGCGTTCCGGGTGTTTTCGTTCGCAAACGACCTCTCACTCCGTGGTGGGATAAGGATTGCACCGACGCGAACAGCGAGAAGTCCGCCGCGTTTAAACGCTTCCGCAAACACGGTAAGGTCGAGGATTTCGAGCGGTACACCGACCTCGAGAAAACTTTTAAGAGCTTGATTAAAGCCAAAAAACGCGGTTACTGGCGTCGGTTCGTCGATGGTTTGTCGAGAGAGACTTCGATGAGAACACTCTGGAATGTCGGCAGGAGAATGCGCAACGCGTCATCACCGGTCAACGAAGACAAGGAGTACTCAGACAGTTGGATATTCAGCTTCGCGCAGAAAGTTTGCCCGGATTCGGTGTCGGTTCAAACCAACGTTCGTGATAGTCCGTCGGGTAGTAACGAAATAGATTCTCCGTTTTCGATGGTGGAATTCTCACTTGCTCTCCTCTCATGTAACAACTCAGCTCCAGGAATGGATAGAATCAAGTTCAACTTGCTCAAAAATCTCCCAGACGTCGCGAAGAGACGCTTGTTGAACTTATTCAATCAATTTCTGGAGCACAACATTGTTCCGGATGATTGGAGGCAAGTAAGAGTTATCGCAATTCGAAAACCCGGTAAACCCGCGTCGGATTATAACTCGTACCGTCCCATCGCGATGCTGTCCTGTATACGGAAATTGTTGGAGAAAATGATTCTTTTTCGTCTAGACAAATGGGTCGAGTCGAATGGTTTACTTTCAGATACGCAATTTGGATTTCGGAGAGGCAAAGGAACGAGCGACTGTCTTGCGTTGCTTTCAACTGAAATTCAACTGGCCTATGCGCAAAAACAGCAAATGGGTTCAGTTTTCTTGGATATTAAGGGGGCTTTTGATTCTGTTTGTATCGATGTCCTTTCGGATAAACTCCACGATAGTGGGCTTTCACCAATTATGAACAACTATTTGAGCAACTTGTTGTCTGAGAAATATATGAGCTTTTCTCATGGAAACTCGACAACTTCACGAATTAGTTACATGGGTCTCCCCCAGGGCTCATGTTTAAGCCCCCTTCTTTATAATTTTTACGTTAAAGACATTGATGGTTGTCTTGATGAAAATTGCTCGCTAAGGCAGCTTGCAGATGACGGCGTTGTGTCCGTTATAGGGCCAAGTGCACCGGAC